CTCCACGGAGGGGTGTGTGTGTGAGGGGCTCCCCCTCCACGGAGGGGGGTGTGTGTGTGAGGGGCTCCCTCTCCACGGAGGGGTGTGTGTGAGGGACCCCCTGTGTGTCTGTGGGTGCGTGTGAGGGGCTCCCCGTGTGTGAGGGGCTCCCGGGGCTCGCTGCGTTTCCCGCCGCGGCGCCGAGCGGGTCTCGCCCCTGCCCGCGGGGCTCTGCGTGTTTTCCTCCTGTTACGCGTCTGCTCCTCGAGCACGTTTAACAACCCGGGGCTGCGCGTCTCCCCGCCATCCCTTCCCTTCCCTGCCATCCCTTCCTTCCCTCCCCGGGGGCGGCCGGCTGGTTGTACACACGGGCACAGCCGCAGCCCCCGGCCCGCGCCCCTCCTTTGTGTCCCCCCCCGAGCCCCGGGGGCAGCGCTCAGACACCGCAGCCAGGGCTGCGAGCTGCGTAGTAAACACTTGCAGGCTGGGAAAGGACTCCGCTTGCTCTCCCCGCATGGAAGGAGCTTGATCTCTGTCAATATTTAGAGGCTGTTTGCAGTAACCTGCCGTAGTGAGTGAGGAATTCCTGGAAATAAGCGCCTTGCCTTTTTATTGCCGCTTTGCCGCCGAGGACGGGTTTCGCTGGCGGTGCGCGGGGCGCGGAATTACGGCGGCATCCCGCAATCTAAAGGTCGCGGGCTGCCGTTCGTTTTTTCTTTATTTATTTTTCTAATTATTTTGCACATTGAGCCTTTCCGTTTGTGCGCAAACAGAAAGGTTTGATGGCTGTAATCTCAAAGGTGATTTTTTTTTTTTTTTTAAGCGGCCGCGTTGCACCCAGCGCTGGGGTTTGAGCGGCGTGTGCGAGGCTCTTCCCGGGAGAACGTGGATCCCCGTGGCGGGGCCGCGCCCGCGGGGACCGGGATTTCTCCTGCCGCGGATCCTCAGCCCATCGCCGCGGCCGCTGCCTCGCCCGGGAGTTGCAAAAGCCCCGACTTTTGTTTTTGTGCGTTTCCAACCTGTGATTGTGTTGCAGTGCCCGCCCCTCTCGGGCGCAGGGGGAACCGAGGGGGCAGGGATGGCTGCGCTGCCATTGATTACACCGCAATCATCGCCGGATTAATCCCGGGGCTGATAGGTTTTCTTCTGGTATGTCGGGCTCACGCTGGATTGAGGATTTCCTGCATGAAATTAGCCTTCCCTTGTTTCCCGGAGTATCTCCGTGGACGGGGAGATGGTAAATGTGCCTTGGAGCCCAACCATTTTAAACACTGCTCCCTCTCCTTCAGCGTCTGCAGGAGCAGGGATGTTCCTTTGCTGCATCCTGATGCTTTAGTTTCTTCTGCCGTGTGTTTTCCAGCATACTCCTGGAGCTGTTGTTTTGCTGCGTGTTGTCGGAGGGAAGGAACAGAGAGATCAATTTTCTCCATTTTAAATGTAAAGAATTTAGGAGGCAGAAAGGCTTTTCTAAAAGTAGTAGTTTCAGATGGAAGAGAAAGGGAAGTTCTCTGGATGCACTGACAGTGAGGCTCAGTACAAAAAAAAAAGTGAGCAAGCAGCACATAGATGGAGTCTGTAATGCGTGTTGAGTAATATTGTGTTTCATTGGGCAGTGAATGCCTGTTAACTCCTTGCAAATTAAGGCCCAGTTGAGGCTTTTGGGTTGTAATGACAGGGCCAGCAGGGGCTGGAGAGCTGCAGTCCGACTTCCACGAGTTGAACTTTTTGACTAGAGCTGTTTTCAAGAGGAAGATTAATCTCTAAGTTTAAAAACAACCCCCCAGTGCCCTTCTTCAGGGGAGGGTTTACAAAGGATTGAGTAGTGGGGAGAAATAGTACAGGAGAGGAGGAGGAGATCTGGTGTGGCCTTAAACTGCTTAGAATTGTTTTTCTTGTCTTACCTGGTACTGAGTATCTTCAAATAAAAATACTCACTCAGCTCTGACCGTGAAGTAATGTTGGGATTTGAGGTTCTAGTCTTCTCAAGTATTTGCAGTTGCCACTTAACTAAAATGAACATCCCAAATGAAATATCTCCTTCTGAAGAAGTTCTAGGCATTTAAATCTGGGAAGATATGCTGAAAAACTTGTCTTAGCTGAATACTGCCTCTAATCGATTGTCTTTGTAGTTTACAGTTTAATAGCCTTTGTTTTCACGAGTTATTGCTGAAAGAATTTTGCTGTTAGGGGGAAAAATGATCTCCAGAGCAGATGTTTTGCATCTCTTCATATTCTTCTCTCTCCCCACAATAGTGGAAGGAAGATTAATCTTAATTTTTATTTGTTTTTCATATATACTGTGTCATAGCTAAAAGGCACTTCCATTTTCGGTCAAACAAGCAAGGCATTCCTAAATAGGAATACAAAGGAGTTACAACTGGAGGGGAGAGACCCATCCCTTTAATGCTCAATTATATAAAATATGTTCATGGTTATGTGAGAGAAACCTCTTTAAAATGCAGGTAGCTTCAGTGGAGGGCTTCTGACTCAGAAAAAGGCATTAAAAATGCTGAGAATTCCCCGAGATTGTGTTAGAACAGCACAAAAAGGGACATGAGAAGACCTTTCATTAAGACAGAGCATGTGCTGGAGTACGCGTGCATTTGATGTGTAAAGCTACAACTGTTGGAGGCTGTTTGATCCTGGGGGTGGGTTTAAGATGAGGTGTAAACACGGTGTTTTCTTCCTTTTCTACCTTGATCATGGTGGGGTTTTGATTTTCACCCCTTTGTCTATTTACAGAGAGAACGTTTAGGAGGGAATGGGTTAAGCACTTCGAACAAAAATACTGGTTTTAGGTCTGATAGTACTTCAGAGTGATGGATACCTTGATGGGTCTGTTCAAGTGAGCGCCTTGTTTGTCTGTCCAGGCTGTGTTGTGTTCCTCGTGTTAATAAACCGCGGCTCATGCTGATGCTTAATCTCTCTCCCAGGTTGCTTAGTAAAAGCCCTCCTGACCTGCTGAGTGTCGGCGTTACACACACCTCGCTTTTGCATCAGCGTTTTCCTGCGCGCCTGGTGGTTAGGGAATGTTGTTAGCTGGGAGCTGGATAATTCCTCCTGCAGTTGAGGTTGTGAATAGAAAATACCAGAGCAGGCAAGGAATTGGTGTCAGTCAGGGCTCACCAGAATGAGGAGAGGAGGGGAGTGTTCAGGGAGTGATGGTGTCCTGGGGGAAGGAGAGTGAGCCAGGCAGTACTTGGACTTTTTTCTTTTGATTATGTTAGATTGGACTTCCAGAGCGTTTCCATACCAGAACTGGAGCAAAGGGCTGTGTGACTCAGAAACGGCGAGGGTTAGGAAATGGTAGTGACTTAGCTAATATCAGGCAAAATGCGTCGAGAACGTGAGGAAGCAGAGGGATGGGTGTGGAAAGAAGGTGTGTTAGAAGTTTCAGTGTTGAACCAACAATTAAGAGAGAAACAGTGGGGTTTTTTTGTATAAAGTGAAGGAAACTTAGTTCTTAAGTATGTTGTGAGAAGTGAGGAGGGGGCTGCAGAGAGCAAGAAGACAGATCAGTTAAACTTCAGATACAACAGAAGACACGATTTATTTGGTTTAATGGGGAAATTGCTCAGACTTGATCAACTGCTGTGTTAATTTTTTGTGTCAGCTTTTCCCTGACCTGTTGTTCCTTCAAACTAATTCTAAAGTGGAGTTAAAGCACAGCTCCAGTGCTGAAATTGTTTTCATCTTGAAATACACACACAAAATCTAGTGTTACAGAGCATCCATGTGATGTGATTTTTGAATCTGTCTTCATCGGTAAATAATTAATTTCTGTCAGTATGTGTTACCATGGGAAAAGTTGTTTCAAATCCTGTTGAATTTTCTGCTAAACTGGCGTTTACTAAGGAAATCTTGGAGTAGAATTTTCTTTAAGCAGCTAACATTTCAAATTAAAATACATTTCGGGGCTGAAACTATTAGCTTGAAAGGACAATTTCAGTTCATGTTTAACTAAGGCTTCTTCTCTTCCCCAGTAATTTTTGTTTTCTTTTTACTCTGAGGTAGATTTTACCAGTGGTCACTGGAACTATTATCTCAGTGAGAGCAGAAGAGGCAGTTTTGTTAAATGATTAATTATATTGTGTGTATTTTCCATCTGTGTGAATTGTGAGCTACCACAAACTTCATTGTAGAGAAGTTTGTTTACAGTCTCAGACTTTGAGAGAGAGAGAGAGAGAGAGGCAATAATATATGCAGGAAACCTGTTTTTCTCACACTGGATGTTAACTTTATGATCCCACACAGCAAACAACTTATCTGGCTCATCATCTGTAATGGCTCTAAAGTTCATAACTTAACAAAATGCACTGAATTAAATTGTTTTTAAGAAGTCAGTGTATTTATCTGAATTATCTACAGTTAAATTAATAAACTTCATGAGCATTATTGCACTTGAAG